AAGAAAGCCAGAAAGCAGACACTTTGAGATTCGTTTAAGGTTGAGGCTGACATCGATGCTCACCACTCGTCGGGACCTAAAACTTATGCTCATTTGGTCACCGCCTCCAATGTCTCTGCCAATGCATCCAACCACTGAGCCGCTTCCTGGCTTCCAGACCCCAAAAACTCCACTACGGTGCTATTCCGCTGTTTGGAATTGCTATCAAGGCGCCATCCTACCATCTTACCAAGTGCTGTACATCAGTTTGTTCAGGCGGACTGCTTGAATTTCAGCCTTCAGTTCTCTGTTCAGAGAATGCTTCAGTCTACCTACATGAACTTCATGATGACGCTTTTGAAAGGTGAACCGTTGAGCCAGCGGACCGTCGATATTCTGTCTTAGCAAGAGGGGCCGTTGGATGAGCACGTGGTCAGATTGACAGACACCGTCGGCAGTTACAACACTTTTCCGGTCCGGACCGTGACGGCGCTGGCTCAGCCTGGCACCCCTTCACAATATGCAGAAGGCTACCCGGGTACCTACCGTAGGTACCCTGTACCGTACCGGTATCTTAGCTGGCCGGACCGCGGGGCGGCCGCGGCGCAAATAGACCGCCGGCCGCAACAATCCGCCGCCCCCAGCCCCGGGCGGCAAAGCATCTAAGCAGAGTGCAGGTCCTGCAGGTGATCGTGTACATGTCGGGTGCTCCTCAGCTATCGGTACTGAATGCCGTGCAATGCTTGTGTCAAAGGGGTACAGGTTTGCTACACAAAGCTACACAGGGTGTACCATACGGCCTCGATCCACGTCGTGTACAGCAGGACCTTCTCGTACACATGTCAGACTAGCCATGCCCAAGTGGTACACAAGCTGTACACGACCACGATGTGTACGGCTCTGATACACGAATGTATCGTATCCACACCTCGGGGAGTTCCGTGACGTGGTTGCAAGTTCGCGGCCAATTTGTATTCGCAGCTTTCTCTCTGTCTAACTTGCTAACTTGCTGTATGATAACTTCACGGGAGATCTATGGGGCGAAGTCCGGACCTCGGTACGATCGAAAAATTACTCGGTATTACCTCGGTCGGACCGAAATTGCGGCGGTCGGAGTACGGTAATCTGAGGTAATTATTGGTCGGCGGATCGGTAACTCCGAGGTCCGGTCGCACCAGAACCGACGCAACACCGAGTTTCACCTTTTAAATCCTCGGTAAAAGTGGTGAAAGCTAGGAATTCGCCTTGAAAATGAGAGTTTGGAAAAGCATGGATCTCTGTCGATAGAGGGAGTTGGCAAGTCCCGCAAGTTGCATAGAGCTTCTCTTCATGTTGCTGAACACCTTCCAACATCAAGTTCCTTGTCTCTCTCTCGGCCTTGTGCGCATATCGGTATGGCGCCGCCATGGCGGCCATGGCTTCCTTCTTGTGTGAAAGCGCCAATGGGTCACCTTCCTTGTTGCTAGCCTCACGAGTCCAAGGGCCTTGTTTTGACATTCAGAGGCTTAGACACTACATTGTACATGCAAGAGTAGACAGCGACGGGGCCTTCTGGCAGTCCAAAGTCGATGTCGTCATTTCCAAAGTATCTGCATCGTCCGATGGCTAGTGTCAGACTCATCGACGGTGGATTTCCATTACATACTGAAAGGTACCGTACCGCAGATCGAACCGCGTTGAACGCAGTACCACCGGACACCGGTCACACAAATTTATGTCTGCGATCGGAACCCCGGCTCGACCGAGCAGAAACCCCTAGCCTGCAGGTACGAGAGACCGACCGGTGATAGGTTTTACCGAGGTTCACCGGAGACGCACCTCGGCGAAAGCTAGGATAATACCATACTAGTCACTACGCACCATAGATCTCCCGTGTTCGTCGATTGAGAGAAGCTGGACTTCCGGAAAGCAGCGCCTGCCTGTGCCGAAGTGGTCAAAATGCCAAGCATTGGGGTTCTACTAAAGCTTCCTGCCTCCGACATTGCCAGTGCAATGGACGTATCGGCCCGTAGAGCTTATTATTCAATGATTGCACTCATAAAATCGCCCAACATCGTGTTTGGACTCTTGTGTATTAGCGACCCTCCGTAATGAGTCGAGTCCGACAGACTACAGACGGCCATCATGCGGGGCCGGCGGTACTTTTATTAGTCACCACATGGTCAATTAAAGTGACACGATGCCTGATTTTGATCTCAGCTCTAAGTTGGAAGCCTCAAGCTCCGATCGCAGTCAACACTGTCCAGGTCCGATCAACTTATGAGAAGGTTACTCAGTGAGCCCCTAAATACTTTGAATTCTAATGCTCAGTGCGGCAATTTGATTCCAGCACAGCTGCGCGCCGCGAATATGATCAGAGCACATGATCGAGGAACGCTGATCATTCTACTTTCTGTCAAATCTTAGACGAATGTGATGTGATCGTCAACGATCTATGACTCATCCAACCGTTCCTCATGTTTTTTGTATCATGATAATCGAGCGCGCATCATGGTTCCAATATATCAGGTTCTTCGAGGACTGGTTGACGTGTGAAAATATGCGCAGAAGTTCCTGGATAACTTCACACGCAACACGCTGATTCACACGCCGGCGGGTGCCCCGTCCTTCCGGGGGTCGCTCACGGCAGTGAGCGGGCCGAGCCATCGTCCGAGCATGGGCTTGACCACACCAAACTTGGTAACCGGGACCTCCAGGTCATGAACCACCACCTGCAAATCAGTGAAAAAGGGCTATAAAAAACAATATCAGCTTGAGGCGCTCCTTCTTTTGAAGAAACTCTTGTTTCTGGCCTGAAAAGGCGTCCACGGTAGACAATCCTGGTAGCATGAATCGTGGCGCTGAGTGATCGGTTCTTCCGGCCCCAAGCAATCACAGGTCAAACCATGGGGCCACCCGGATTACGACGTGGGGCTCGCTCAGCCGTCAAAATGGGCGACGGGTCAACGAAGCCTCTGCGAGGCCTTTTCCAAAAACACAGCCTTTTTCTAACTCTAGACTTCCCGCCGGGTAGCAATATTCACCCATACTTACCAAAGTCTTGACTTCCTTCATCCTTCCCACTGCTAACACAGACGCCCCTCTTTCGTCTTATCATCCACAGGAAGTACACAATTCTCGGCGAGACTTCGCGTAGGCTCTCATTCTGCAGAGTGCGGCAGTGGTCAGCAGGTAACGTTCGCACCCACCTGGCATACGGATCCAAAAGTGGTCGGTACGAGCTTGTGTCCGCGCCGGAGAAGGGCGTTCCGGACGTCCGGCGGCAACTCGATGAGCTGGCCGTTGATCAGGTCCAGGGTTTCGTAAGCAATCTCGTCCGGAATCAACTGCGAAAACGCAGACGAATTTGAAAGTGAGTCTTGGCGGGCGTACTCTGTTGAAAGTACCACACTTCCTTTCAAGCGTAGGCCTCTGGAAAATCAAATGAAGAGTGCTCCGAACCGCCAAACCGTAGTACCTCTCAACATGGGGTGCGCCGCCAAATAGCAAGTCTGGTCAAAGGAAAAGCGAACCGGCAAGAAATTACGCAGTATGGGTTTGCACCGCCGAAAGGAGGGATTGGGTGGATGCTGAGTATCTGTCCAAGAAAGGCTTTGGGAGCAGTATCAGCCGCCCTCTGAGCGTTTCGTGCAAGAATTGAAACTTTGCGACACACAAGGAAACGATCCGTGTCGTTGCCTGTCTTCTCATTTCAGGCACCCGTTAGGTGGTCAGATCCTCAGTGTTTCATTCGTTCTCTGTTGGTGAAGGCAGATTCCCAATCAGCCTGGAAGCATCACTCGCGGTGGCTCACCTGATGGTGTATTCGTGGTGCAACCACCGCCGCGAGGGGGTCCTTTCCTCCCGCCAAGAAATTCAGAAGTACCTACAGAAGCGCTCAAATTCGTTACGATCGTGACCCCGCCAAGTGAGGACAGTACGCTAACACGCTTGCTTCTGACATCCTTCAGAGGGCGTTCTCAACGTGGCTTGGCAAAGAGCGCAAAACGGGCTTTGAGATCGCGACAAGAACGAGCGGTAAAGGTGACCAACTAGCTGCCGGCTTTGGGGTCGCTCAGCATGACTGGCGCTCTCCATACGCCTCTCTTAAAGTGGGCGTCGGGTTTCAAAGCTCGGGAAATGCACACTCAGTGAGTCTGAGTCTTTTTTTGGACGGATCGGATCGGAAGTTCGGCCGATTTGGGCTCCCTGCACCGTCGATCAGTTTTGGAGGACGTGCACGTCCTACGCCCACTTTAACGCCGCTCGGAGGATCTTGGTGCACAAGTCGTGGCCCATGCACAAAGGACGATCAACCCGGAATGATTGCTGAGTAGACACCATAACGATCTGAAACCGGAATCGGTACTGCCGATGCATTGTTTGGTCAACCTTGGCCGTCAGCTGAAACCCGGCTTCAGATACCAGTGCACGACTCCAACTGGTCTGAAATGGATCCCCGCATCTCCATGTGATCATTGCGGAGATCAACGCCAAGCAGCCAATCATGGTACAACCCAGAAGTCGGGACCATGCCAGACCGTCGCCATTTCTCCACATAGCTGGGTGCATCTTTATCCACATTTCGCGACCGCTCAAAACCAAAAAGTAGCCTTTTGACCAATCTGAGGCCCTGATGTTGGTTATCGATTCTACAAAAGTACCCGGCCTCCGAGACCGCTAGACTTCGGAGACTGGGTCCACTCAATCAGACTTAACCAACGAGAGATGAGAACGCCTTTTCCGGCGTTTTGGGTCAACGGAAAGCAGACGTTGCCAAAGGCAACGGGGTCCCCGCTCCCCACAGCCCTAAGTATTTGAAAACTATACACACAAAAGGGAAGGGCTCACCTGAGCCGTCCCTGTGATGATTCGCGGACCCCCGCTCGCGCCTGCCACCATTCTCACGACCCCGTTATGCACAACGATCGTTGGGCTCATAGAAGAGAGCGGTCGCTTTCCCGGACGGATGAAGTTGGCTTCGGACGGCGCAAGTCCGAAGGAGTTTCGAGTGTCCGGAATGGAGAAGTCGTCCATCTCGTTGTTGAGGATAATCCCCGTGGACGGAGACACGACCTTGGAGCCGAACCCGGTGTTTATGGTCGTGGTTAGCGCAACCTGGTGGGGAAACCGAGTGAAAATAAGGCACAAGAGCGGGCGAAGGAGGGACGCTTGTTGGTACCCTCCCAAGAGATCAGAGAATGTCACTTCCGGTTTTGTGGATGAGCCCCATGAAGAGCGACACGACCCTGGAGCTGAACCCGGTGTTTATGGTGGTGGTTAGCGCAACCTGGGGGGCAAACGAGGGAAATAGGTCAGAAAGAGGAACAAGGGCGGGCGAAGAAAGGAAGCTTGTTGGTAACTTCCCAAAGATCGAAGAAGGTCGTTTTCGTTGTTGAGGATGATCCCCGCGGAGGGGGACACGACCTTGGAGCCAAATCCGGTGTTTAAGGTGGTGGTTAACGCAACCTGGGGGCCAAACCGAGTAAAATTAAAGCAAAAGTGCGGGCGAAGGAGGGAAGCTGAATGATACCCTCCCAAGGATTTTAAATATGTCATTTTCGTTGTTAAGAAAAGATCCCGTTGAAAGTGACACGACCTTGGAGGCAAACCCGGTGTTTTTGGTCGTGGTTAGCGCAACCTGGGGCCAAACGTGTAAGGTACGTGGAAAAAAAGGCAGAAAGGCAGGCGATGAAGGTGAAGTTACGGAACGGTGATGTACTTCTGAAAAGTGTCTGCTGGATTGCGAAAGAACGAACGGCATTCAGCAACGGATGGCTGTATCGCAGGTTCTGTGGGAGCTCCCGATACTGAGCAGCTTTTTGTCGCCAACAAGGCTTAATGACCCGATTCTTGTTCTTTGGAAGGAGGCAAATACGTGACCGCGAATCGAGCGTGCGAAGAAGGCTCGTGTATAAAGGCAGAAGACCTCTAGCCTTACTTGCCGATGCCCAACCAAACTCTCTCTTCGTTGTGCCGACTGCAACAATCAGCTTCAAACCTTCACTACACGCTTCGTTCGCTTCGGGCCCCTGATTTCTTATACAACTCCCTGGCCGGACACACCGCTCGGCAAGACGATCCAACGGCCCAGACTCGAATCTCGCTTGGACGAACCATCAAATTAATGCCTGTTCGCCGTCCTGTCCAGAATCACGTATCAAAGGCCTTCCTATCCAGAAAGAATAATTACATATTAAACTCCTTCCTATCGAATGAACAAGATCAAGAGATAGAGGGCTCCAGAAGCGTGTGCTCACCGCGTTCCGTTCACTGTCCACTATGGACACGTGGCTTGTCCCGTGGTCGTCCAGCTGGCTCCACTTGCCGCCGTAGTACTCGGGCGGAAACGTCCGATCGTCCGAAATGTTGGCCCGGACTTGCGCCGCGAAGTCGGACGAGAGCATGTCAGCCAGCACGGCTGTGACGTCGACGAACTGAAGAGAGGTTGGTTTTCCAGTCAGCCGTTGCTCCAAACCGAAAAGGAAAGAATCCCTTGTTGTCGACCATGGTGTTATTCCGCGGTGTGCTACTTTGAGAAGCGCCTGAGTGATACGAGACTTGAACGACTCGGTCGTGCTCGTGAAAGTTAGGGATGAAACTCAAAGATGCAACCCCAAACCTTCTGGCGACATCCGGATTTTTCGAAAGGTGTTGGGCGCAAGTGTTCTCTTGGGAATCTCTGGACGAGAGATTTTGCTTTCGTTTCGGACTAAAGTCGAAAGAGTAGGAAAGGAGGCAAAGTCAGTCTACCACAATACGTCCTCTGGCTTTGACCTGGCCGAAGCAGCCTTTTGCAATAGCGAGTGAGACGGTGTCGCTCGCTCTTTGACTGACACCTGTGAGTTCAAGAAAGAAGCGCACTGACCCTGTGTGACGGCGACCCTCCAGCGCGCCCAGAGCCGTCAGAATTGCTCTTCGCATTAAAATCCAGATTCGAAGCACAATAGACGTTCTGTTTGAAAGCCAACCAGCCAAATTGAGATGCCAACTTGCCATTTTTGGGATCTCAAGCAACAGCTTTGAGCTGACTATACATGTAATCAGTATCCAGTTGGACACACTCTTGACGCGTACAAGATATCATAAGCCACTTAAGAGGAAAAGCGGATGCTGTTTACCTCGGGATCCCCCAAAGACATCCGCATCGCAAAGGCGTGCTTGAACGCCTCTGCGATCCAGTGCGTCCCTAGCGCCCCCAAGGCGGCCAGAGGCATGTCGAAAGCAGAGAGCGTCTTCAAAATTTGAATGACGGTAGCGCCGCCAGACGACGGCGGGGGAGCGCCCAAAACTTCGTAACCTGGACAGAAGCACACCAATAAATCTATGACCAGTCAGTGAACGAACTTATTTGGAAACCCGACAAAGTTAATTGTGCGCCGAACACAACTTTGTGTTGAACGAAGATGGCGCCGAACACAACTTCATGTTGAATGAAGATGGCGGTTGCAAAAACGAGACAGGCAGCACACGTACTGGCGGAAGTGCTTTGTTGATCAGAATAAACGGTGGCGCCGCCAAAAGACGGCGGAGGGGCCCCAGGACTGCGTAAGATGAAAAGAAGCACAAGCAAAAGAAGTGAGTCGGACGTGAGGCTCGACGAAAAGGATGTGCAGCGAACACCGATGTATGCTTGAAAGAAAAGGGCGGTCCAAAGAGAGCCCCCAGGACTAGAAGTCGGGTAATAAGTTTATGATACAGAATCAGTCAGGATGTAAGGCTCGACAGAGCTCAATTGCAGCAGACAAGTTGTATATGTTTGAAAACGGGCGGCCCCAAAATCGGGCAGAGAGCGCGTCGAAAACGGAGAAGCTCTCGAGAATTTCAGTGACAGCAATGTCTCTGGAAGAGGGCAGAGAACGCCCCAGGTCATCCGCCGAGTTGGCCCTCACCCATCTCCATTGTCCGGAGCGGCTCCCTTATCCGCGGACGGTAGCTCGCCAGATCCGCAGCCGTCATGATGCCCCCCGCGGCTCGGACGTCCGCAGCTAGTTTCGCGGCCAGACCCCCCGTGTGCAGAACCGACGGCGTCTCGTCTGCTACCCGCCTAAGCGTCTGCGCAAGGAAGCTGATGTCAGAAAACAGAAGTGAGATCGCGGAGGGAAATCGGAGATTGAAGGATCAGTCAGCGGCTTTCGAAGACCGAAGGCGTGTTTTAAACCCCTCTTTCAGCGTCTGCACGACAGAATGGTTGTCAGAAGCGAGAAGCGACGGTGCTCAACTAATGACAAGGGAGTTGAAGAATCAGCGGTGTCAGAAGGAAGAAGCGATGTTTCTAAAGCGGTTTGCGAGGTCAGAGAGTCGAAGAAACGGATGCCGCAGCTTGTGCTTCTTATGCACGGACCCGGTTGTTGTCAACCTGGGCAAGAGTCAAAGCTCTTTTGTTGACGCCGACTGCCGGGTTTTACGATCGCCGAACATGCGGCTGACGAGCGAGACGAGCCCAGCAGCATCCGCTCTTTCAGACGCTAAAAGCGTTTGAATACTAACTCTTCTTTCAGCTGGAACTCTAAGGCGAAGCAGACGTGAATCTACAGATTTGGAGTCCACCAAAGGAAGTTGCTGTCATGCATCCGGCACCAAAAGATGCGGCAATCGACGTACCTGTGCGAGCGTTTTCCGGTATGCAACGTCCCCTTTCTGTAGAAGGACTCCGTCGGGAGCAAAGAGCTGAGCCATCCCCGGGTTCGAGAGAATAGTGGACCCGTATTCTGCTATAGACGCCGCGAGAAAGCCCTCGACCTGAAATGAGAAACGGAGTGCACAATCACAACCTGACTTCTCGAGATTCACAATCTATGTATTGCACTAGCCTAAAAGTAAGTTGGGGAAGGTCCTTGCAAGCGGCAATCAAAGATCGACTGCAGCCCGTTGAGCAGTTATTTAGCGAGAACCTACAGTAGTCGCATCATTCCAGAGAGTCTGAGCGCCAAGTTAATGGTCGTGCCGTCAACCTGACCCTACAACAAGCAGTTGCTACGTGGTTCTCAAAACGAGTCGGAAAAGTCAAGGAAGACGGTTGAAGGCTCAGCAAATATAACCACAATGTCATAATTTCAAACCCTCCACTTACATCAAATATGCCTAGTACCACAGACCATCATTTTTGACAGCGCCTGGCTGACGTCAAATCTAGGAATCGGCCTATTGTTGTCTCGCTCTCGAGCCATGAGCAGGCTCGACACCTTATACAAACGTCCGCTGGACCTAGCTGAGTCTCAAAGCCTTGAAACCCTTCGCCGCCAAAAACCACGACAGCGGCTTGGAACAAAAGATTCGAAACGTACCTCGAAGCCGCCCTCTGCGAGTTTGATCGCCGGCTCCACCAACCGGGCCCACTTCAACCGGCCGTGCCGCTGCCACGCCAAATACAGCCCGGCCAACTCCCCGGGGACCGCCACCGCCAGGCCCCCGTCCACCGCTTTCTGGGGATCACCTTTGTACATGTCCTGGGAGGCCCTCGATGGTGCTTCCTCGCGCATGTCGATGACTTCCGCACTGCCGTTCGCGTTCCTGCAAGCGGAAGGTGGTATACAGAGGAGCGGATCTGAGGCTCGAGCTGCGAATCGCGTATTGGCAGGGCGCGGGCGCTTCCTCACGCATGTCGATGATTCCTGCACTGCCGTTTGCGTTCCTGCGAGTGGAATAAGACACCGTGACGCGAAATCGAGCGGACTTGCGCTGCCAAAAAGATTTTCTGAGCATAAGCAGGGCGCCTTATGCGCAAGATAAAGTGTTCTGCGCTGCCGTTCGCGTTCCTGCAAGCGCACCAGCGGACACGGGGAAAAGGAGCGGACTGCGGACTCTGAATCGAGCTGCCTACCGTAAGCATGGAACCTCTATGGCGCAGTCGATACTTTGCAATCATTAGCGTTCCTGCAATTACACAGACGACGCTTCGCAATTGAGCGGATCCGCGGAGTTGAAGGTCGACATGCCGTTCTCACTTGTACAAAAGGGGATATAAAGCACGGCGCCTTACCCACGCATGTCAACCCCTATGCACTGCTAATACGAACTGGCTATCATAGGTTGGTCACATTTGCAATTCGAAAAGTTTGGGGCTCCGGAACAAGAGAAGGTCAAGACCGTATGAAGCCTTTCGGTCACATTAACTGAGTTGCAACCTTCGGGACTCCCAAGACCTGGTCAAGAGGTCTCACGTAAAAGCAGCCGACTCACTACAGATCGCCAGCGAATTTACCGTCAACCTTGTACTGTCGCTCTGGATAAGTTCGGTAGTCCCAAGTATCCCCGGGACTACCATCGAATCAGTCCCGACGACATTTGGGAGTCCCGAACCTGATTTTACTACTGTCGGAACTCCAAAATTCCCGAATTCTGAAAAGTTGGAAATCCCGAGCTTCCAAAATCATAGTTTGACCGCCCTATCAGCAAGGAGCGTACCTAATAAGCATAAAGGCTCCCCCGCCCACTCCGCTCGCCTCCGGCCGAACCACTCCCAAACAAAGAGCAGTGGCAACCGCGGCATCCACCGCTGTTCCCCCCTCCGCCAAAACGTCTCTCCCAATTGCAGAACACCGGCTCTCGTCAGCAGCAACAACGCCGATGTCTGAGGTGACCATGCGCTGCACTGTGTCGTGCCAGAGACCGCTGTCTGGGACTTCAAGTGGTGGGGGCGGAGGGGCAGTGACTGCGATGAAGGCCGTGAGAACAACCAGGAGGAGGAGAGCTGTGGAGGCAGAGAAAAGATTCACGATGATTGAACATTTTGTGGAGTGGTGTGAACAAATGGTTGTTGTTTTGGTGACTGAACCGATCCGAATCCAACCTTGGTTGGACTATAAGTAAGGCTCCACGTTCTGGAGTCCTAAGGCGTTGGATGACCAATTGCAACAACGGTGTGGACCTGTGCTTCGGCGGCTTAACTAGGAATCATGCTACCAAGTTCGGTCGAAGCAGGTGAAATTAAGCAACAATGGGATTACGCTTATATCGACGTATGAGGAGCTCACCATCAACCATCGACTTATCGCCACTCAGAATCAACGATGTACAAGATCTCTGAAGCCAACGTCAACCCCTTTGGGCCTATTGCTTATGTCCAGAAAACAGCAACTCTGGAAACTAGGCATATTTTGGAAAGCAGTCAGGTGGAATGCGGATCGGAAACCAAGTGCCTTACCGATCGAAATGATGTTGCACAGCGGATGCGGATGGGAAGCCTGCAACATTGGGGAAATGAGCAGCCTTGGCTTTGATTCGAGGAAGGAGCGCTTGCTTCAGCACTATGCAGCTAAGCCCGAAGTAGGCAACCAACTTCAGATACATATACAGCCCTAAATGGAAAATGGGGAAAGAAGCAAGTACTTTCACATCAATCATTTGTCCCCCAGCTTGCTTCATTAGTGCTCAGAATCCTCGAACCTCGCTGTGAAGTAGAGTTTGGGTTTTGCAGGCATCCGTGTCGACGTGCAATCTGTTTCAGACGTTCCAGTGAGCTCGCCCCTTGTTTTAACCCGCTGGGGAACTGAACACGGACTCTTCGACACTAGAATGAAAAGAGAAGTGTTCACAAGAAGTCTAGGAGGGATCTCGGCAATGTCAAAGTCCAGTCAAACAGACAGATAGCTTTGCCTTCAATCATGATTGGTGAAATGGCAGTAACCAACCTCAAACCAAGCTTGGTTAACACTGGTCCTTTCCTGTGATGTGAAAGATCGGTTTTGTGCCTGAATACTCACGATCCATGTCCACCACTCCTCGCTGTCACCATCCTTCTGTGGCGCTCTTTGGCGCTCAGTCTCAAAAACTGCCGGGCGGAAGCGCTCCTCTTCGTCACTCTCGTCGTCGCCTGGGGCACGGGGGCCCCTACTCCAAGGAGGCATTGAACTGTCTAAAGAACTTCACAACTTGTTGACTTTGGAAAGTTGGCCCGTTGTGCATAGATTGTCTTCACTTCATGAGCTGCACTGATGAGAACGGACCTCCTGCTCAAAGGAGGCAGGACACTAGAACGCTGGACAAGGGGAGAAGTGCAGATCTACAAAAGAGAAGGGTGATTTTGCGTGAAGGGTGTTCAGCGGAGCATGCCTAAGCCCGATGTTTTAGGAAGCAATTTGGTTAACCCCCAAAAGGTGACCGCTCCAGACGTGCTCGATTGGGCGCATGTTACAGCTTAAAGAACTGTACGTGTAAGGATCAACCCCGATACACAAGCAGTCTGCTAATGGCCACGGTGGTTGATGATGGTTCCAAAACGTTGCGCGGAGAGTTGTGCAATCCTCTCTACTCTACTCCAGCTAATACGTTGATGACAACTGATTTTGGCGTTACTCCGCATAGCCAATCAGGAACCTAATAGCAGCTGCATCAAAACGGAGTTTGCTGTGGAAAGTTGCGGGAATGAGGCCCCCATATGCGCCTCTCAAAACAGCAAGCTACCGTACCATGATCAAAGGTGGCTGTGCCAGAATCTGATCGAAGGTCAATTGGCTTGATCAGCATGCAAAAAGTGAGACTGAGATCCTTCTGCTGCCTTCTGCTGGATCAGTCTACATATCACTTGAAAATTGTGGGTGCTTCAAGGTCGTATATTCGAATTATAATTCTAGAAAGCGGCGCGTTCGCTGCTGGACCTTGTGCTTATTATGGGAAATAGTTAGTGGCGTGTCACTCATGGATTGCGCAGATATTTGCAACATATTCGGACACACAGGTCTGTATCGCTCAACCGTCTGCCGCAACAAACCCTAACTTTAAGAGTTGAAAGTTGAAACCTTCCAGTGGACAATGTACCGTAGGTCCTCTGCTGATTGCAGAGGAAGAAATGTTCTGCAACACTGACAGAAAGAAATTTATGTAGGAAGGGCGACAAAACCTGTCAGAAGGTGGGCAGCGCTGCCATTGGCATTGAAGCTGGTCCGCTCCTTTTAACCTGAACGGATCCAGTCACAAGCAATAGCTTCAGCCGGCAGGGCAAGATTGAACCTTGCCGCAGGGCCTGGGCCATAGAAATAAGTGTGAGTTTCGATTCGAGCAAAAATGAGCGTCCTCAACAAGCTGCAGTTGCCGAAGCATGTGGCTAGTCTGAAGGCTAAGGAGGTGCCTGGGTATGTCAGGGAAACAGTCACGCCGGAGAAGATTAAGACAGGGTTTCGGAAGTGGATGGAAGATTACAGGTTGAAGTACATAGAGACCGACAGCATCAAGCCTTTGAATGATGTGCTGATCTATGGATTCATCATCTCGTATGCCCTTGCCTGGCCAACAGAGATCAAGCACATAAGGTAGGCGTGCCCGTTCTTACCACGTCAAACTTCTGTGCGCGTTTTGAAGTGCAGCCTGAGTCTGTTCTCACATACGTTGTCAAACCTCTTCCGCTGTTGCTCCTGGTAGGTTTCTGTGAACATCTTTTGTTGCAAATTCGGCATTGATAACCACACATCCAGACAAGCTGCTGCTTACATGCAGCCGGTGGACTGAATTCTTTTGTTGGCCTGTGGATCAGGTTGCATACAAGTTGAATCTGTGTATGTCAAAGTTTTCTACAAATTGTCCCAGAATATGCTTCCTTGCCTCGAGCCAAAAGAAAAGAGCACGCCTGTTTAGGTTTAGCAGCAGCAGCCATCAGCATTGAGACTACTCATGCTCAACTTTTGCTGGGCCCCTTTTTGGATGTGAATTATGTATACTCCAGCTTGCATCGCTTTGTCTCAGGCTCGTTTGCTGTTCTCAGCTTCAGATTGTGTTCAGTCATCTGCAGATCCCCCGGTGTTGCATGGACGGGTAGATTCGCAATGCTTACCAGTCTTTTTTGATATCGTCTTGAAGCAATCTCGTCTTTTTGGTGCAGACATGCAGAAGAAGTAGCAAGGGCAAAGGCAGCGGGGCACGAGGCACCAGGCCACCATTGACAAGGTGGGAGAACAATGACTCCCGTCCTCATACTCTTTCAATGTAAGATACTGATTACAAGACCTGAACACGGATACTGCGCAGCAGTTGATTGCTGTGTTTCTTGACAAGCATCTTACCATTGAAAAGCCTGCTTGGTTGAGTACCGCATCAACCATATCATGTGCAGTTTGAAACATGGAACAGTCGAAGAATGGTGCATGACTGGGCTCCCATCGTGCGGAATATCAGTCCCTTCACTCTCTTGTTGTGGCATCGCGGTTGAAATGGTTGCCTTTGGCATTCCTTCCGCCTTTCAACTTCCTTAATCGGCTGATGCAACCCATTCTTCCTTTTGCCTTATTGTCTTTATTTCACTCAGATCAACTCTCAGTTTCTGTGGTGCTGTTTGTTGTAGAGCACCATCATTGACTGAGCTTTCCGTATTTAGCGTTCTCATGTAAGCTCGTACCAAGTCCGTCCATCGCTTCTGCAATGCTTAAGAGTCTTGGCCCTGATTTTGGAAGCAGATCAGGTTGCGGTGTTTTGCTGCGGTCTTAAAGACCTTTGGTATACCTTGTTGTTTGCAGTTTTGGCGTAATACCCCCTGCCGAAGCCATTGGGAGACGTCAAGACTTTGCACTGCAACTCAAAGCTGTCTACACAGTCAATGAGCGACTTTTATCAAGTTGAGTATATTGGATTCTGTTTATTCTAGTCTTGCAATATGTCCTTTCTTATGTCATAAAGCAAATGCAGATACCAATGTGAACCTCGTACATCCTTACTTGGATGTGACTAAGCGTCGCAGATAAGACTGCTCGAATGAATATGTCGTGCAGTTTCGCTTTCTTACACATCCGACTGCTGCATGAAAGTTGACAAGCGTGCACATCTTTGCATTCAAACTAGTGGCACTCGAAAGTAAGGTCCGCGAGAATCAGATTCGAAAAAAGCCCGATCTGTATCGTGATGCATACTGCAGTTCGTCATGCATACTAACATATGATGCATGGAACATATCATATGGTGGGCCCACCGCGGCACCCTAGGCTATAGCCGCTGAGCTGTGGCAGTCGGACATTGAAGCCTAGGCCGCGCGGTGCCAGCCTGACCATGTGTGCGTGCCATATCGTCTATAAGAGGTATCATATATAGCTTCACGTACGACCGATCAATTCCGAGATCCGTCCGGGCCGCGCGCCTTGCCAGATATAGATATACACACTAGCTTTTAATTTCATTGACGTCCGACTCGATATATGTAAACATGGCTTCTTCATTTATACATTTTTCAAATGATGATAGAATGCAGCATGGCAACGCGAATTGTTTCGCATGATGCCGCCGCGGTCTGTTATGATGTCACGCGCAATACCAGTCGTGGCAAGGGTTGGATGGGACGGCGGCCGCCCGGACTGCAAGCATTTCACTCAAAAACTGATGCATGGCTAGCTACATAGCTATGCACTGTGATGATTCCGACCGCCGTGCGATCAAATGAATGCATGTACTACTTGTCGTGCACTGTTGATCGGGCCTCCGGCTTGATCAAGTGAAGCTCGTGACCGACGCACTCAGGCATCTCTCTCCGTGGCTACCCCAGGCGATCACCCGCCTACGAGGCAGCTCGACCTTAGTCGGTCTCAGTTCCCCGCTCACATGCCCCGTTATCGCTGATAATGATGCAAGGCAGGACAGGACCCTGAGTCATGATATTAGCGGAAGCAGATGCACTGAATTATGATTTCCGCAAGCCTGCCTGGACTGATTCCTGTTCCTTGAGCGTGTCAATGTCTTTGGGTTGAAGGGTTGAGCAGAGCAAGCGTGGTAGCCCTTTTCCGTGTTAATCTTTGCGTGAGCCTTAGGGACGCTACGAAGACAAAGAATAACCACAGGCCCCTCTCAAGCATCTTGTCGGCAGCGTGCATTTCAGGAGAGAGGAGGTCCGCAAAAGATTGGTAGACCGTCCCGATGTTCGACACCCTGCAGCAGACGCGAAAATGCTCCTCAAACCTTCAAGAGTTGCATATTTACTACTAGAATTTCTCAGACATTTGTTCTCTTCAAAATTCAAGGGTTTCTATCCTCTACTGATCTGTCGAGCTATCACTGCGAATGGCATCACCGGAAACATTTTGTGTAATATGTTCTCTTGATGAGATTGGCGCAAAGGAGGTGTTGAGAAAGTTCGACTTCGCAAAGATCAGCTTGCTTGGCAAAGCGCAAGCAGTCAAGCAGAAATGATTTGCTAGGACTCCACGTTCAGGCTATGTTACGAGAGCGCGGACGTTCTGCTCACAATTTGGAAGGCTTGCATGCGACTGACCCTAACACAAGGCCAGGCGGAGGGGCTAGCGTTAGAGAATCACAAGTTGCACGAAGCGCAACTCCATGCTTGCTGCCAAGTTCATCGTCGAGGGAGTCCGACGGATTCAGTTCCCACGAAGAAGGGTAAAATGTTTGCGGGCTCACAATTCCAGAATCTTTCCGGCGAGGGGGTTGAGCAAGTCCACTTCGTGGGCTTGTCGAACCCCCGGGTTCTGGGGGCAGCTCGAGAAATTGCGACCCTCCAGATCGACCTGCAGGGAAGAAAGGGTCCCGCTCTAATAGAGTAAGAACGTCGTGCCTGTTGCACACACAATGTTGAAAGTGCAATCGTTTTGAAGTGTTGGGAGGAGCGATTAATGGAGAATCATGAGAATGTGAGAAAGGGGTTTCTCTGTCCGGGGACTGCCTACGAACGTTCGGCTTGTGCCATCCTCAAAGCATTTTCGAACCAGGCCGCCGTCTGCTTTTGTCCCATTTTGACCGTTGGATCTGTATCGACAAGGCGGCCAAAGGTCTTGCTTGAGGTCAGAAGGCGGGACTTGGAAGATGCAATATTGTGTCGATTTTGCTGATCTCTGTAGACACAAGATTCGATCATAAAGCGGATTGGGCTGGCCACAGATCAAGTCACAATCAGTCAACCTCGTCAACATTCGAGCAACGGCCTGAAAGCATCAGCCCCTGCTGGCTTCGGCCAATTTCAAACGCGGCCAAACATAGTCCCCGGATTTCCTTTGGTTTTCTTAACATGTTAAAAGAACGCCGTTGATTCTTCAATCAAGTGCCAGAAGATGTTGGGCCAATTCAATCATCTCCAAGCATAATCAGTTCCGCCTACGAGTATTCCGAGACTCTACCGCTGTGTGGAGTAACGTCTCCATCTGATCGACGAACTCGGTTCTATCACCGCTTGCGTTCACCACGCACCCATCCTCGTTGCATCCGAATCGAGGCCAGTAAAGAAGTCGAAAAGGGTTGGATTCTCACCTGCTGCAAGCGCGCTTGGTTGTACGTGCAGGCATACGTGCCGTTGATCCTGTACCCTTCTTTGACGTTCCACACTTCCCGGAACCCCGGGCGGCACGACTCGACGAGAAGGGCGCCCGGCTTCTCCGCAAATGCGCGCGTCGGCAGGGACGCTGACTTCGGCCAAAACTCCACCTGTGAAAATTCGTTCGCGGTCAATATGACCGCAGAATTGTTAACAGGTTTGAAGAGATTTTGCTTCAACGATTTTCACCTAAAGAGGATCCAGGTAAGGTCACTCCAATACCCCCGGGATTCTCGTTGCGAAACAGCTGTGTTTGAGTCACTTAAAAGCTGAGTGACGCTTAGTTTTGATGGTTTGCAGTGCGCGTATGATGGCAATAAATAAAAGCAAGTGTTTTACTTCTGCGCCAGGTGTCTCTATTCTCTTAGTAACTCAAACCTTTTGAACAGAGACAATTTGAGACTGACGAAGGAGAAATAGAAGAATCGTGGCGAAGAAATGCGCCCCACCTGAAGGACTGCCACCCAGTAGTAGACGAATCTGCAAAGCTCCCCTTTCGTTTGACGATGTGATGGAGCGCTGTGGCCAGCAACGGGCTGCAGCGCACGGAGGGCGTCGGTGCCGCAAAGCTTGGCAGTGCGCAGATCAACATCTGCAGAGGAGATGTGGGAGTCTCTTGTTGCGGTGTTGACAAATTGGTTTCTACATGGTATTTCTGAGATTCGTGTTTCGGCGCAGTTAGTGGACGTAAGCAGATTGGTATGTTACTGTGTGTGAGATGTCGATCAATCTGCTCCTTTCTCCATCTACTTTCGTAACTAGCCACGCCAGTTCGTACGTGAATTTCGCTTCTATTTTGATGAGGTTTACATGTGAACCAGCTGCTTGGGACCTAGGTGAGGATGGTCCAGATCACGACGTTCCAAAGGGGCCCAGATATGAAAAAAGTGACTGCCGTTGCATAGGATTCCAGTGAGGCTGGGACACTAACCCACGACTTCACGGTTGGCGGTCCACTGTTCATTTTGTTCAAAAGCCCTTTTCTAGAGGCTCATGCAGTGCCTTCTCTGGAAATTCCTCGGAAGACCTTAAGAAGGTTCAGAGGCGAGATTTGGTTTTGAATACTGATGGGCTATGGTGTGCTGAGCTCCAACCGTGATTCAACAACACTCATAGTGAGAGCCAAAGGGTAGGACAAACCACCACCATTTTGACCCAAAAGATTGCTTGATTGCAAGTGTCACTTGATTTACGTCTGAGCAGAATTCTGTTGCAAGACTTGCATGCACTATAAAACCATATTCGTGATGGGTGTTCTCGATGTTAGAAAGATCACACCGTTCTTCAGTGATAAGCACGCAGCACGGAGACTTTTCCTTGACAACCAACTTGAGGAAATCTCCTTTGCAGAGGACCCTCCACAATCAAGCTTACTTTGGAGGACACTCTCCCATGTATCAAGATCCGTGTAAAACAGGGCACTTCCTAACCATATAGTCAGTTGATCCATGTAATTCGTCCTGCTACCACCATGTAGAAACCTTTAAATGCGGACACTTGTGCTCCAATAGGCAGAGAATCTCATAGCCTTCTCACCTCTGGACAGAACTTTGCACCCAGTGCGCTGATCCCCTCCTGCGTACTCTGACTGGAGCAGCCCGTTGACGTGTTCCCAGAATAGAAGGAAAGATGCAAAGCTGACCACCATAAGGGCCGACATCATCGTCGTCGCCATAAATGCAAAGCACAACCGCAGGCAAATGCGGCGCTTGCTGTGCGGAGCATGGCTGGAAGTGGCTCCTGACGATGTCAATTGCAGTACTGGATTCTGTATGATTTGACCTTGGCTGCTGTCTTCTACTTTTAGATCCCCTGATTGCCTTGCAGTCATAGGCTCGCTCTGATCCGTCATGTCATCCCTGCCAAAAGCGCTTTGTTCCAATGGTCCAGGCACTGTTTCGTGGTTCCTTTGCGATTGATTTAAAATGTCCCCTTCAAATTGCCCCTCGAGCGAGTTCCGATCAAAGCTACTCGGCTCTAACAAGTCTGGCACTATTTCTGATAGTGCATCCTCTGACCCGCTCACGAGCTTTGCGCGCCACTCTCGCTTTCGCTGCAACTCGCTCGCTTTCAAGTCCTCAAGAAGAGTGCTCCATCCTCTGATCTCAGTCTGCTCTTTGTCGTCCTCCCCATTGGCATCAGAAATTCTTTTCTGATCAGAAAGTGCAGCTTGAGAGCTTGGAGAAGCATGCTCCATGAGAAGATTCGCCTCAAAATTGTCCGGAAGACCTGCTCGCTCCGAAGCACCTGCCGGCACATCTCTGGCTTGGAGAGCCATCTTCAAGCTGGGGAAACCTCAGGCACCGCTAACTGCGGATGCTGCAGCTGTTCTGCATTCCGGCTGCTTCGTCATGTCTGCGCTGCAGCATTGCTCGAGCTGCGCATGCTGTACATACATCGAAATTGAATGCAGGGCTCCCCTTCCAAGCCAGAACCCCCTCCTACCAAACCCTAATTATATTCGAGGGTTGCAATCGTTGGTTCTTTGACACTCAAATTCAGGATCTATGTACATAGTCACTTTCGAACCTTCAAATTACTGTCCAGAGCATCGTAGTCGAGTGTCAGAACATAGTATCGCAAAAATGAAAGAATCAAATTGTTGAACTTCTAGTTCTACCGTATTCACGCTTTCTGAGGCCTTGTGTGGACCATTCAAGCATCAGCATTGATCAGCAACTGAGAATGCAGTCTAAGAAGTCTGACTTAGGACCAAGGCAAAGTTTGGAGCGAAAGAGCTTGGCAAAAGAACAGGAGCTGTGAGCATTGAGGAGGCAAATCTTTCCAACCAGGGCTTCCATGGCGGCCCAAAGCCGCCTCCTTGGGGCGACAAGCGCGCCCTCAGCCTTCGAATTCCGAACCAGCAATCAGAGACCATCTCGGGACAGCCACATTGCATCTTGCCTCCCCTGCGCCACCTACTCTTCTCGCCCCGCATCCACCTCTGGTTTCCCCCAAAAGCGTGCATCTTCTCAAACTCCCAAGCTGCTGTGGAAGGGGCTGGTAAGGCGTGATGATGTCAGCGGCGGGGTGGTGACTACGAAAAGCAGGGCTGCAGGCAATCCGCCGAGGTCGGGAAGCAGGGGCTCTGCTCTTGGCAGCTCATGCAGCACAAGCTCATTAGCGGATGTGTTTGTAGAATTGAAGAAGAAAAACGAGGTGAGGTTTTATCTAGGTTTTGAAGAACTGGACATCTCTCTGTGTGGTATCATTGGGAAAAAACTGTCCTTCCCCATCTTCCAATCAGTGGTGGTTTCTAGAGTGCCTTCTCAGATCAAGGGTTAAGCACCATTACCAGGTTTTCGACATTTACTTTCTCCATCTCAAAAAAACTGAATGACCGAAACAACATCGGCATTGAAAGCCTTGAAAACGCCCGGTAGACGCAATCCCCTGAACATCAATTGGCCAATGTGAGAAAATGAGGAAGACTTATCCAGTGGTCCTCTTCAAGGGTTTATAATTGTGGCTTCATCTGGCTGCGAGAATGTGAATTGCAACGTGGTATGCTGTGCTTGACTGGAAAAGCGAAGAGTCCTGCTCAAATCACTATCTGGTTCGCTTGGACTGCAACACCCATCACAACATAGTACTGTCCATGTTACCGCCACACATTGAGAAAGTAGTTACTCACCCATGTTCACTGCTTTATGAACCGCTGTCAAGTGGAGATAAGTCAAGGGGAGAGAAGGGGCTTGGTATTTTTCATGGATGAGATTGAGCAGGACTGACGAGCGACGATTGATGGACAATTCTGATATCCGATGCTAAAGCACTAGAACACACCCTGCCATGCAAGGTGCGATTGCATTCTTGAATGGGCATTCTACGCTACCTGGAAAAGTTCAACGTGTTTTCGAAACAAGTCAGTGTAGAAGGCGGTCTTCCGGTAAACTCCAAAGGGCCCCCTCAAAGCTCAATTACTTGACCAATGGTCCAAATGGCATCAAGGTAGCGGCGTCAATTGTCACTTCTTGCGGGTTCCCTTGCAGGTATAATGAATTGCCTTAGGGTCCATGATCTGCACCTGTTCTGTCGATTTCTGACCCCCAACTATACAAAAGTCCTTGCGAGTGCCAGAAAGCGACACTATTCGTCAAACTTAACCCACTTTGTTACTCATGCTCCCTCCGCCTACTGAATGGCGTAGATCACTTAGCCGACAATACTGTCAATTGGCAGTCTCAACCCTTCGTTACTGACACATGATCCCCTGCCAGGTGGCGTTCATCCCTTTCCTTACTGCTGGCGACCCCGACCTCGCTTACACAGAGAAAGCGCTGACGACGCTCGATGAGGAGGGCGCTGACATCATCGAACTTGGAGTCCCTTACTCAGATCCTCTGGCCGATGGACCTGTCATTCAGGTAGGAATGTTGGAGTCGCATTACTTTATGAGTTTCTGAATGAAATTTGCGTTGATTGGGGACAAGGCGAAACGTAGTTGCCACTTTGGTACTCCATTGCCGAAATGAAGTACCCTTCTTAGGTTGGTTGTAAACCTTGAAAGGGTGGAGATTTGGCACTCGTTTTATGGGACGTGCAGTAGGTCCAAATGAGGAGAAGATACGGTTCGTGGTCAACTCTATTCTGCAACTCGGATCCATTTTCTGCAACCCAAATAGGTGCACTTTCAGAGATTCGACTATGCTCATCAGACAGACGCACAGGAACAAAGGCAGACTCTACTCGCTTTCTTCAGTGTGCTTTTAGTACCACAGTTGCACGACACCCCTTGTGGGAGATTGACGATGCGACTGTGGCTTTTGCTATCATAAATTCGAACAAAACGAAGAGCGTTTCCTCAAACCCCAATCTAAGTCCAACCTTAGTTAACTCATGAAAGGTCGAATGCGGGCATGCTTGTCTCATCCTCCCTTTGCAAAAGACTGGGATTAAAATTAGCCACACAAGACAGGCACGACCTACGGAAACTGGTATGGTCGTCTCGTCTCCGGACACAGAAAAGGACCTGAGCAAGGCGTCAAACCCAGTTTTACCCTTCGGAATACTTGACAAGCATGCTTGGTTTCACTCTGGTGAGACTCACACGTAGTGACAGTTCTCCTCGGAAGACCAAGGACAAACTCAGTCTGCCCGCTCTTCGGTACAAACGCTCCCATGGAATTGTAAGATTCAAGTTAGATCATGTCCTTTGTTCCAGGCGGCCGCCACGCGCGCTCTAAACCAACACACCGACCTCGCCTCCGTGCTCGACTTGATGCACCGGGTGACTCCGAACCTGCGCGCCCCTATCGTACTCTTCACTTACTACAATCCAATCATGAAGCGGGGCGTGGAGAAGTTCGTGAAAGACGCCAAAGCAGCGGGGGCTGCTGGTGAGACTCTTTTTCACAGTTGTGCTTTTCTTCAACATTCGTTTTGGCAGCATTTGATGCGACTCCGCTCCGCGAATCGTCCCTAATCGAACTGTAACAATTGAAGGAGGGAGACGGGGTTGTCGAATCAAACCTTAGCTTGTCCGTGCGCTCAGAGGCCCTACTCTAGGAGTTGCTTAGCGGTCGCACATCTGGTGGTCCTGTGCGTTCTGTGGAATCAAGCCATATGGGCCTTGTTAGGTACGAGAATGCTTGCCTCGTGTAGATCTGGTTGTCTAAAGGAAATTCTCTGACTCAGACCGTTATGGCTCCGTGCTATCGGATTGGGGAACTCAAGGAGACAAGGAATGGCTTCCTACTCGAAATACCTAAAACAATGTGGCCTTTCATAATGGCAGTGTATGTTGCCCCATCTCGTTTGCACTGGCGCCGGGCACCTTCTCTGGGTTTCTTCCCAAAAACGGACGAAAGAGAACGGCACGCAATGACTCCCTGTGAAGCCCTGTTTGTTGTGTCCCTTCCCCGTCTAGTCTGATGCCAAAAGTGGCCACCGGACGTGTGCTAGCATGTCTCTAATAGGACGAGGTAAAGAGTGGAAGGCTTAGGACTTCAAGACTGGAAGGCCTTGTTGAACCGGTGGTGTGATAAATGCCCTACAGGTCTGGTGGTGCCAGACATCCCCTTGGAAGAAACAGGGCCTCTTCGGGAGCTCACAACGCAAAATGGGATGGAGCTGGTGCTGCTCACGACGCCCACGACACCGCTGGAAAGAGCGAAGGCGATCGCCGAAGCGACACAAGGTTTCCTGTACTTGGTAAGAAATACCGCTATTCCAAGACCTGTACTTCGGAGGTTGAACATTCCAGTCTCGGGTGGCGGGTCGGTGATCTGGGTTGCCTGGCAGCTCGGCAGTTTCGTGTAAATGGATAGGAGATCCTGGACGGTGAATAGTGAAATATGTGTTCTAAGCGACACGACAAGGGGAGTTTTAAGAGGAGTTGTCCTCAACGTTGCAACATCGACCCCCGGTGCACGTCGCTCTCATAATCGCGCGTTTCAGAGTTGCCTCAAGCGTAGAGTAATTGGATGATCAGGATCGACGGAGTCATCGCAAGAGATGGTAATAAACTGCTTCACAAAAGAGACGTGCATAGAAAGACATCACCCACCCTATTGCTTCCTTTCTTCTGGTCAGCTCCTGTGCACGAACTCCGAAGTTGCGGACAGAGGGCAACGGATTGTTGGACAAGACTAAGAAGCGATCTTGACCCGCTTCGACAGCCTAAAACTTGTTGGGACGAGCATGACGTCAGCCATCCTCCCTTCTCTGCAGGTCAGCGTTGCGGGGGTTACGGGGGCCCGGTCACAGGTCGCGAGCCGAGTCGAGGGGCTGTTGACAGATCTCCGAACAGCAACGGATAAGCCGATCGCGGTTGGGTTCGGAATTGCGACAAAGGAGCACGCGGCTCAGGTGAGACTCGAGGCCTCCCTGATATGAGAAACTCGGAAGACGAGACATCGTGAGAGCCAAATTTGAACAAGACTGCCATTGTCTCCGCTTACAGTTTGAAAGGAGGCGTTGTTCATTTCAGCAGTTGTGGTATCAAGGGAATTACCGGCAAACAGCAAAAGTTACGAAGCTCCTCGTTGATTTACTCTGATCTTCTTCCTTAAATCCCTTCGTTTCCGGCCTGTATCTCTCGATAGTGTCTGCAAGCGATTGGATCGTGTTTGTTTGCCAGGCAAGATGCCGGCATTTTCTAATCCGCTCGTCTCTTACGTAAGTTTCAACGTGTGCTTCTACGTCTACTTTCCTTGCCAGATGAGAAGGGGTTTGCTTTCCTCAGAACACGTCGAGCCGTTTCTTTGTTGAGTAATCAGGCACCAGAAACCGACTCTTAAGCGGTTGAAAAGCACTCGCTTGGTGAACATTTTTGGACATCCGTTTGAAAAGATGGATAGCGCCCCTTCATGCGCTGCTTTGACTCATTATGAGCTCCAGATCAATCGTGACAAGATGCTGGACGGCAGACTGCTGTTTAGCGCTTATTGGATGCTAATTAACAAGCAAGCTCACCAGATTTGGCGCTCGTTTTCCACTTTTCAGGTGACCGAATGGGGAGCGGACGGCATCATTGTAGGGAGCGCACTCGTGAAAGCCCTAGGGGAAGCTGCGTCCCCCGACGAAGGTTTGAAAGCTCTACGAACACTTGCTAGAAGTATAAAGCAAGGGTCGAAAAAGCTAGTCCAAGCCGCTTAGAGGGACCCGTTCAGCCTGGGACTTTAGTTCACTTTACCTTCAGACTGGGTTCGGTAATAGTAATGTGTATGGTTTCGAGTTTCTCATGCCCAAGTTCGCTGGTGGGCCCATGTCATGGTGTAGCATGCAACGGAAAACTTCCAGCGTTATGATAGTTGCCCTAGTAGGTGGCTCCGTCCAGGCAGAGCATGCAATCAACTTGTGAAAAAGCGGGCCGTAACACCATGCATCCCGTTGTGGACGGTCTACATTTCGGTGCATGAATGTACTTTGAAGTGTCCGATTGGCTCCGGTTCGCGGCCACCTGGGTGCTTTTAACGAATCATGATTCGTCTTCACGTCAGTACGTACTACGGTATACCAAACTCCGATCGCTAGTGAATGTATACAGTGACTGATGCAAATTGTTTGCAACCTGCGGCCCCGCCGCCGCGCGTATGGTCACAGTAACATTTCACCATGTGCGGCCGGCCATGCCATTTCACCATGTGCCAAATGTTCGAGAATGCACGTACAATGTTCGACCCTGCATACCATAGGCCGCGGCCGGGGCGGCCATGTCCGAGTACGTCGGAGTCTCTCGCTCGCGCGGGCTTTAGCTCTTCAATGCATGTATATAGGCCGCAATAATTGACCCGGCCTGCATGTGCATGTATACGACATGATTGCATGCCGTGCACCGTCGCGCCACTGATTCCATTATATTGGTAAATTGAGTTCTGGGCATCCGGTCAGCTTCAATGTGCAGTTGTGCGCCCGGGCTAGGCCGCCATACTTGCTGCTCTGCCTCGCCGACACGTACGCGTTCATGCAATGTCTCCCGGCGTATGCACTGCATGCATGTCAGTGCATGCTGTGCCTAGTATGCACCTCGCTAGCTTGGGATATGCATGGCATTGAACAGATCTTCTGTCGATCATCAGCCCCCGGGCCCGGGCCCCTGTGAGCCCATAAAGCGCACATTGCACCCTAGCTTTCGACCGTCTAAGTACGTTTACAAAAGGAGTAGCACAACGTGCCGGTGCACAAGGGTCAAGCTGAGGTATCTCATGCAGAATGATCGAAGCTATGCCCGTCATACTCGCGAACAACAATTGAAGACAAGGACCACCATTACATACCCCGCAGCACAGTGTCGGGCCATCCTTCTGAACTCTTTGAAAGTACGAAGTGTAGCAACAAAAGCGGTTCATTCGAAGGTCAATCCTGTTCCGTTTGTTGCAGAAGCGCATATGCTGACACGAGAGCCCAAGCATAGTCCAGCCACTTATCGTTTACGACGTGTTCTTCAAACGCTATGGTCGCCTCTCTACTGATTTCGGACACTCGCACAACGTTAGCTTGCAACTCCTTTATCCTCTCCTCCCAGTCCCCCCCTTGCGCTTCAAGTGGAACGAAATGCACAAACGGAACGAGAAACTCCTCAAAGTATTCCTTCGTTAACGACTTCGGTTTCAAGACGACGGCCATTGTCGACAACAGGTAGGAGAATCGACTCTCCAAGGACGAGGTGTCTGTAGCCACGACGAACCTGTGCCGTAGGTAATCCGAGTAACTTACGTTAGTCTCTGTCGTCAACTCGTTTCGGTAAACTTTCCGCCAGAGCTCCTCTGAGCAGCCAACCGGTCGGCAGTCCTCAAACCTCGCGTCCACTGCTTCCGGAATCTTCCTCCCAAGGCGAACCATAGCTGCACTGGGGTGGTTTTTCCAATGCTCTTTTTCGCCCCCTTTTCCCGATCCTTCTGGGGGGCCCCTCCAAAATACTTTCGGGTTCCGACTGATCCACGGATGGGCCAACACAACGTTTTTCCGCCACTTTCGTAACCTACCGTAAAGCTCAAACGACGGAAGCGGAACGTCAAGAAAACCTTCGTGTGCAAAGTAGCCAAACAACGGGGGACGACTCAGGGAGGGTACGCTGAGCGGTAATAAGGGGGTGATTGCCGTGCTGACAACGAGATCGAGATAGCTTGGCAAGCCGCGCGTTCGTTGGAGGGTGTCAAACAGCAAATACCACCTTGCAACTCTTTGTAGATACGTACTGTCTTCTCTTTCGCGGCCCTTGACCATAACGGGTTTGCTTAACATGCCGTTCGTGACCCGGATCCTAGCGACCCCGAATCCTTGCTGCTCCAGCCATGCGAAGAACTCGTCCATCGTCCGCTCGGTGAATCGCTTCTCGGGGTGATCCTGAATGTCGCTCGACCAGGGCTTGAGCCACTGCCGGGCCGAAAAGATGACGTCAGCAGGCACGTCACGGGGACTGTCAGGGCACCCGATGGAGCTCGGAAGCTTCCGCGCCTCTGCACATGGAGCGGGCGGGGAGAGACGTCAGTCGACTTTTCGTTTCGCTGCTCTTCGACCAAGTGATCTTTTCCCTGCCTTCCCAATGTTACTGTTCCTTCAACTTTGCTGTCTTTCGTTGATAAGTTTGTGTATACAAAGTAATCCGTGCTTCAATCTGACAAGAGTTGCGAGGCGCCCTGAAGATAATAAGTATTCAGTTAGCAGTTCAAACCCAAAAAGCCAACTCGAAGGCTAGCAGGAGCGGACAAGTCATCACGGGAGCGTGCTGAAAGTACCGGAAGTTTCTTACATTACAAGCAAACAATCAAGAAGCATCTGAAGTACAAGAAAAGACTCGGAGTCAAACTCCAAATTGAATTAAGGACTGCATCCAACAGTAAAACGTATTGCCTTTCAAATCTTTGCATGGGTGGAAAAGCCTTAACCACTTCTAAAACGACTTCTCAAACCATGCCCAGACTACCAGCTTACTTTCTCTATACCTATCAGTTTGGCCCCCACCCTATTCTTTACAGGTCAGATTTTTTCCAAGTGGCCTGCCATTCTGATGTGATATTCCTCGGTCAATGTGCCCCGTTCCATCAATTCAAGCTGGCACCGGATCAAAAATGGACTATGGCTGTCGAGTACAAGGCTCAAAGGCTTTGGCAAGACCATGAGTAGCTTGATTGTCTTTGTGGCTTCTGTCTAGCTGTTACTGCAACCAATCAGACTGGTCAATAGGAAAAAGTCTTGGTTGAGAATAGATAAGAACACTGAAATGAGAAGCGTTAAGAATATTGGTGGACTTCAGTTGGTGAGTCCCTCGATAGTGAGGACTCTTCGTCTCCTGATTCAGAAGATTCTCTCAAACCATTGAACCTTGTCAGGTTTCACATCAGCAAACTGCTAAATGCTTTCGCGGAACTCCCTCGAAGTGAATAAGCCCTAGTCTATATCCAAGGGGATAGAAGAAAGACGTAAGTCAGCACAGGATCGCACCTGTTTTCTTCTCCTGCACGACCCGTTGCGCCTCCTTCTCCCCGAGGGTCCCAAACCCCTCAAACGGCTGGACCTTGGGGCCCAGCCTTGAGACTGCCACTATTTGAAAGTAAACAACAACAACTAGGATGAGGGAGAGTGACAGTAGCGGCAGGCGGCCAGAACCTAAGAGGGAAACCACAGTAGCCCGCAGGGATGGCCAGGGAGACTTGGAGCGTGCCATCAATCAAGTAACCACCACACTCCTGACCAGAGGGCACTTTGTCCAACCAGCAACAAGAGCTGGCGGGAGGGGGCTTAAGTGACCACTAACCAGGAACTATCAAGAGCTACGTAAGCTTCATTGTTGTGAAGGTATTCCAGTTTATAACCGCTGATGCGTGCGCCCTGAGGCAACTTTGAATTACGCTGTGAACGATGGCTTTCTCATGTCATCCTAGTCAGTGCCGCAACTCCAATGTGGCTTGGCCTGGTTGGCTTTGCACAAAAATATTCTATGGCGCTTGAGATACTGATGCATCTGCAGCGGAGAGTTGCTAACCAGGGGAAATGTGCGCATGACACAACAGGACTTCTCTCACTTCAGCTTCACTTTCTGCCAAATAGGCAGATCAGCTGAGCCTGGCGGAGTATATCCCCCATCACTTTAATATTAGTGGCAAAATGTACGTTTTGGCCCCCTTGCAAAGGCCCTTCTGTGAGCAAGCTACAGGGGCAGCAATCAGCCCTAACGATCTCTATCTATTGAAACCAGCCACCCTATACCTTCAGCCTTCAGGCCTTGCCCAGAAGGACTTGGAGCCCTATCAACTGATGGTGACTCCGATTGTCGTCTCGACCGACAGCACCCGTCCAATTGTGATGTGTTTGCCAATCCACCCCCTCAAAGCGCCGGTCTCACAAGTCCCAGCAATGCTGGCCCCTGCTTCGGAGATGGAGTTGGTCTGCCTGGTGGCTATCCCTAGATACCACTGCCCAACTTTCAGCCACATCTGTGGACACTTCTTGTGCTCGTGCGCATCAAAGGCATGGGGCGACATCTATCACAAAGGGGATCAACACTGTGCGACACCGATGCCAATGGTGCTTCCTTCTCCCAACTTCCAAGCCCTCATGAGCCCTAATACAGATCAAAATAACAATATTAAAATGCGTATGAAAAAGCAGACAAATGTCAATTTCTTTGATACGTACGGATGCAAGATTTTGTCAGCTAGGGCTGCGGTAGCACAGTCACTTACTCGATAGCGCTCGTAGGAACGGTATACGCCACAATATCGCTCAATATGTGCACGCTACCTCTTCTCGTATAGGCCATATAGGCTGATGGAAGTGAAGGCTAGATAAGCGGAAGGTGGGATTGGAGGAAAATGTCGGCTCATTGCAGGGATTCGGGAGAGAACTTCAAAGTGGAAGTGTCAAAGCTGTCCAGAGTGTGGAGGAGGCGATCGAGGAGGCTTTGCTGTGATTTGCAGCTTCTGCTGAGTGTTGTCTGTTGACGTTGTATGGCGCCCGTTTCATAGACTGCGTTCGTGACCCGAATTTTAAAGCGTGAGCTTGCCGTGGACGCTGCGCAAAGCTCGGGCCATTTCATTACAGAGCGGCCCCTTGGAACTGGAAGACAGTGCAGCTCAACATATCAAACAAAATTCGCATTCGTATTAGTCACTCCTGGGCAAATTTGATGCCCGATCATTTAAAAACCAGGCCGGGCAATAATCTTGCGGAGATGGCAGCCATTAAAGAAACAACCATCTCGCCTGAGGTTTTGAATGCTGTGGCAACGTTGGCACCCCGTTTTACGCTTGGTGATGTGAGATGACAGACTCCTTCACTCTAGAGTCCTGAGAGGTGTCGTCTCTCTTCACCTCTTGCAGAAGGTTCCTGGTCGTACTTGTTTCATTCAAAGCATCCACTCCCCTGCTTTCAAAAGGGTTTCCATCTTAGCACAGCTGTTCTCAATTGCAGGTTTCTGAGCTTGCTTAATCATCCTCCAGCTGCATAAGGGTAGACAAATCAGTTGCTTCATAATCCACAAGGATTGAAGTGGACATCTGCCTAGGTTGATGAGGGCTAACCCCACCTGTACCTTGCTTGGCTTCTTTGACTAACGTTTGTGATTCATCCCTGTCTGTACGGTTTGAAGGGCAACTTTTTGGCATCACAATCATAAGGTACCACCCAGGTTCAGGTTTAAGGAGGTTCTGTTTAGAGATGTGTGCTCTCCTTCCACGAACAACTCTCCCCAACCGTGGTCATATCGTTTGTCCAGCTGACTCTACATTAATACAGTACGTTGTATCCACCCAGTACTGGGGCGCTCTACCAGTGTCAAATTTAGAGACTTGTCATATCTGAGACCAACCACTGCTATCAATCTTATTGTGGTTCCACTTTTCAGGACCTTAAGGTTGTCATACTCAGCCCAGGCCTCCAATGCTTTTATTCTGATAGCCTAGGTCCTTCGGTACGCAAGTTCCAATTCCCCTTTCAATCCCAGGTTTCCAAGGTTCCTGAATGCAGATCTCTGATGCCAAACTTCAAGCGAAGCCCCAAACTAAAGTTTGACGGTCTGATCCCCGCAGGTACTTCTTCAGGGCGGGGCTGTCGTTGATGCTACGCTAGTGCGGCAGCAGATCCTTGCGCTGGCCGGACGCACAGGCGCTCATCTTGAGACTGCTCCAGAAGTCGGAGAGGTAATCGTCTAATCCATTCTCCTTCCTTACTGACGTGGATTCGAATGTCTGGGATGGTTGAGTGATGACCTTTTCGTCCCTGGCAAGGGATGTCCTTGGATTATTGGAGGAGCAAATGTTGTTTGTGCGATTTTGGAAATGTTTTGGTTGACGTCAGTGGATGGCTGAAAACCGAGATAGTGGAAAGGGTGGCTTGGACCCTCAAGAGGTTTGTTGCACTTTACTGCATCGTAAGAAAGGCGACTTGAGCAACTTTTTCATTGATTGTCCGACGAGCACCTGTTCCTTGGATTTTCCGACCTGTTTTGTTGATCTCTGATCTGCACGTTGCTCCTCGATCCGTATCATGTCCTCCACAGGATGTAGAGTTGATTGCCGGGCCTTTCGCAGTGTCGTACTTGCCAGTACAAGTGCCAATGTAGAGGGCTTGTGTATAGAGCAATAAACATGTATGCAATTCAATCCAATCAGGAACCTGAACCTTTTTGACATGAAGTTTCATCCCCTGAAAAGATCGAGTTTCATCCCCTGAAAAGATCGGATATGAGTGGCATAACCCAGAACATATATCTTTTGCCCTGCCAGGTTGTCTACATCTTCCCCAGGAACGTGTGCACCATCCTGAGGTCCCGCACCGCTGGAGACCGCTTCTCCTCGTTCCTGAAAAAGGCCCGGAAGGTGTTGGGCGTGGCCTTCAGGATCGCCTTTGGGGTCTTCCTCTTTGCGTCCATCATCCTGGCGATAACCGCGATACTTGTCATCGTCATACTGGCCCTCTCTCAGGTAGGATTGGTTTTCTCACACCATGTTTTACCTCGTCAATGCGAACAGGGTTCAAAGTTCGGGTGGTGATCTCGTTTGGGGTTTCTGTCCAACTGACATGTTAGCCTGGGCGTTGCATGTCTGTGGTGCTGCTTTTTCCTAGTTAAAGCTTCCTAACAACGTGGCTTGTTGCGTCCTGTTTACCCAGTTGTCACCGGTACCCTTTTGTCCTTGACAAGGGCAATCTAGAAGGCAGCTTTTGAAACGGTGGTACTCTTCGGCTTGCATTTCGTAGACGCGGTACTAATCCATCAATCAGGCAGAGCAACTTGAGAGCTCAACGTTCAAAACACCCCTAAAATACTACGACTTCGATTTCACGCCGCGAAGCTGTGCACCCTAACACTCTCAGGTGGGCGCACAAAGCGTGTGAATAAGCGGGAAGCTCACGCACTCTAGTTTTCTTTTCCCAGAGACGCGGTGGAGAAGGCGGCGGGGGCCCCTTGTTGCCCATTCACACTGGGCCCGGAGGTGGGGGTGGTGGCGGCGGGGGCGGAGGGGGCGGCCGAGGACACTTCCACTACAGCCCATGGCTGTACGGCGGTTCTTCATGTGAGGGATTCCATCCAAAGTCCCAGACCTGACGGCTTTAATCGACCTCTTTTTTCCCCCTGACTTCGCTTTTTGATACTTCGTTACCTGATTTAGTATGGTTATGATTTTCTTTGGGTTCGCCGCCCTCTGTTGAGAAAGACCAAGGGTCAGAATGGGTCGGTGTGAGGTGCGTATCGGTGCGTTTCGGTATCACACGTGAAAGTCGGCTCAAAGAATGATGGCCGTTGAGTTTGTAGCTTATCGAAAGCGGAAAGTGAAAAGATGAAAAAGCTGGATAAGTCTTTTGAACGCTGTTTCCTCTTTGTGCAGGGCACGACATCTGGCTGCTTATGTATCTGAACGACGATGCACGGCGGAGACAGCGGATGGCAGACTGGGATAACAGAGGTACGAAACACTCTTTCGATTCTAGCACTCTTGGTTTGGACGAGTCAGAAGATGCGCTTCTTTACCGACGGGCGAATGCAAAGCACGGATTGTAAGAATCCTTGCGAGGCATTGCCAGGAAGTTTCCGGTGATACTGTCGGCGACGGCGCATCAGAGGCATCAGAGGCAGTGGTTTTCCGTGCTTATGCCTGCCCCTTGTAAAGCAGGCGCAGTCAATAACACTTGATGCGGTTTTGAGAAACGCCAAGAGAGCAGGTTCGCGGCATGTTCTTGCCTATGAAGCCTTCGACTGCAGACTATAGAGAGTCGACTCTGCAGACACAAAGCAGGTCGGACTCTCTGTCTGCTGAGTTAAGAACGCTGTCAGCCATCATCCTGGACAATTTTCATACGAAAGCGGACACTCTTTCGCAGATACCGCCGATGAGAAGCCGAGTCAGCCGTTCCGCCCTCCTGGCGGGGGGCCCGGTCCAGGGGGAAATGGAGGGGGCGGAAACGGGGGAAACCCGTCCGATCCGCCTGAACCTTCCGGGCATCGTGTGGCGGACCCATCCGGAGAGCCTTCGTCGAGCGGAAGCGAAGAAAGGGAGCTCAACTTCTTGGGTACGACTTCTTTGATCGTCGTGCTTTTCAAAGAGGTTTGCAATGGCTTTGGCTCCCGAAATTCTGCATGATTATACCTCAAGTACGATGTAGGTCAGAACCCTTGCGGCATGCGGGCACTTCAGAAGGTTGCGGATGATGACTGCAGTAGTTCCTAGAAGTATCTAGCTACCACAAGTTCCCAGCCCTGCTTGCCGTCAATCATTGCCTCATCCCTTGGTTAAGAGCAACTACTTAAACTTCCTCCTCTGCTTGATTCTTGTACAGAGGCCGTCTTCGCTTTCGTCTTTGGGAGGGGCGATGTGAACGCGGACCTCGAAGCGCGCAGGTGGAGAGCCATCGGTAAGTTTGGCGATCTGGCCGGTTACAACACGCCAGGGCCAGCCTGTTCTTGACGCGGGATATTCTTCAGAGCGTCGAGCGCCGCTTTCAAGGAGCGGCGCTTCAATTCCGAGCGTGAACGAGTCTTATAACAAGGTCAAGCGTAGTGGTTCTTTCCACTCAGCGATGTTTTCATTCAGAGATCAGGCAGGCCTCCCCCTGCTACATCACTCCTACATCACTGGTTCTTGAGATTTTCGTGACCTTTGCCTGTCGTCCTCTCGTCCCAGAGGGCTGCTTCTGTTTCTGAGATGCAAAGGGCACGTCCTGGGCTGTCCCTGTAGCACGGCCGCTCGTCTTTCCTTTGGCGTTGGTTAGTCTGGTCGGTTAACAACGGGAACTCAAGTCTCTCATTTTGCCTGTGTAGGCTTGCTTCTCCGCCAAAACCAGGGCGCTGTCTACGCTGAGCAAGTGGCGCCGTTTCTGGACACGTGGCTGCTCGGGAGTGGCAGCAGGCCACTCGCGTGGTTTGAGAGAGTGTGGAAATGGGTGCTGCAGAGGAGGCGGCGGGAAGACGGGGCAAGGGATGCCGCACAGATGCACGAAGGGTGGGTCGCTTTCATTCCGAAAGTGCACTTTCGTTCCTGATGTCAAGTCCATTGGATACTGTCACGACAAATGACACGGAAGCTTTCTTTTGAGGATAAACGAAGCCTATCGGACAGAACTACGAAAACTGCGTGCATCTCAGGTTTTTGGGGGCACGACTTCCAAAGAAATTGCCCGGCAAACTGCCTCCAGGGACATTTTAGAACACACGAAGTTTTCGAACGCAGTTTGAATCTCATTGACGTCAGCTGTACTTATCTGAATTCAACTTATTTGACGTCCCTCTGGTTCCCGGAATGATGTCGTACACTCTTGGAAATGGCAAGGGTATTTAGAGTTCCAGCAGAAGTTGGCTCACCGTTTCTGACCCCATTCTTTTTAGAGTGCAGGTGCATGCTGCCGGTGCGGAGCCGCTTTTGGGGCCAAATAGAGGGCGTTTGTCTGGGAAACCCCCTTTCTAAATCTCAGGAAAGATGTCGTACATCATTGAAAGGCGAAGACACTTGACTTTCAGCTGACGTCAGCTTAACTCATCACTCGTCACCTCCGCTGATTGCAGGTACATGCTGCCGGTGCTAAGCCGTTTCGGGGGCCACGCAGAGGCGAACGACGAGGGGCGTCTGGTGTACGTCTTCCCGCACCTGCAGGTGTCTGCGATGGCCGCGCCGGACGAGCCCAGCACCAGGTACGGACGTCCGAAGTTTTAGCGGTTAAGTGACGGGGTTATGGCGGGGTTTGACCTGGTTGTGGGAAGTTTGGGGCATGTCTTTTAGCACATTCGCGTGTCCACAACGGCCGCGCTGGACGAGGCCAGCACAAGGTACGGACGTCCGAAACCGCTTTTAGGGCTTGATGTGCATCGACGGCGGGTTGTATGAGTAGGATGAGGTGGATTGGTTTCATGCCTGCGGGGATTGCGGACGGCCGTGCCAGACGAGCCCAATACCAGGTACGGACGTCCGAAGCGTTCTGGGTCATGTGACGGGTCTTACGGCGGAATTCGCCAAAACAGTGGAGAAATTTGGGGCGCCTGGTTGTTCAAGACCGTCGGCGCTTGCTGTATGTTTCCGGGCACCGCATGGGTTTGCTATGGGTGCGCCGGAGGAGCCCAGCACCAGATATCGATGTCCAAATTGTCAGGAATCTCGTTGTTCCTTAACACTGAACTATCTACTGGTTAAGGTGGAGGTACGGTCTATGTCTCTTTGCACCTGCACTTTGTTGGCGTGGCTGCACTGAATGGGCTTAGCTCCAGCTGGTGTTTGGGACGCACCAGGGATCGAGACCGACTCGTCGGTTGCTGTGCTTTGAAACGTCGCCAGTGCGTTTGTCCTACTCAGAAGGGGCATCCCCCAACGTGTCTTTTCGGTACTCAAATCAGTGTGGTTGCATTTCCGGCATGACTTTCTTAAGCGACCGTCGGAGCGGATCCTCAGCTAATTGGTCGCCCGGGGGGACCCGTGCGCCTGCGCCCTCGCTTTTTTCCGATCAGGCCCGTGGACGGACCTTCGAGTGCAAAATGGCTGTTGCGGATTGCAGCGCTCTCTGATCGGCGTTTGAAGCCGTTCCTTGTCTGAAGCTTCTATGCTCTGCATCGTCTCAGTGGTCACCAATTGGTGCTTTCGAAAGCTTGACGCACAGACGACTGCTCCCGATCAGTGTCTGGTTTCCTTGCCAAATCGCGCGTGCCTGTTCTTTTGCCAGCTCGTAAAGTCGTGCAGCCGTGGCTATCCAATTCCTCTTTTTTTATTTTCATTTCTATGATCTGCTATTCAGGGGTTATTACGATCGCCGCTGATCGTGCAGCCGGCGTCTCTCCTGGACCCCAGGCTGATCAACAAGGAAGTAACGTTTGCTCTTGTTTCTTTTTGCAGCAGCACACCAGTCGCGTCTCCTGCCTTCGTCCCCCCTCCCATCCCGCCCCCCATCTACGAAAAGCTGAAGCCGCTGAGCGACGGAGGCAGCAAACAGCCGCAGGTTATCGCTCTCGGCTTCTTAAACGGTAAGCAGTGAGCTAAACCCCTTGTAGCAAACAGGTTGTGGCATCCCCAGTCCTAACCAGTAAAGATAAACAACGTTGAAATGGTGAAGCTTGGACGCTTTTGCCTCTGCGGTCATCCTGCAACTTATCAAATGGTCCTTTTCGCTTGATACGACATGCAACAATAAAGCTCGTCGATTCTTTGCCCATCCAACATGCGCTATCATGCAGGAGCTGCGGATCCTGCTGCATACTTAACTGGGCGTTTGTGTCTCAGTTTGCAGTGCGGATTCTCATCCGATTTGCTACCGTTCGATTCCAGTGCGGACAATCTATCAGTGCAATCCTTAGCTTGAGACTCCGCTCCTTGTAAATGTGCCCCGCGTTTAAGAACTTAAAGAGAAGCCGGTGAAAAACAATGGGTCCAGGAAAGAACCGGCTTCTGATCCAAATCGCAAGAATGCTCCCGATCCGGCTTTCCAATCGTAGTTCTTCAGTCCGTGTGCGTAGTCATTCTGCTCCTCGTCTTCCGGCGCATTGGGGGCCTGAAAATCGGCAAAGGCGGCGATATCGAGATTGTCGACGGGCGAACGGACCTCCTCGTAGCGCTCCTTGCGTGGGTGCCCCGTTTGTTGGCGAGGGTTTTCGTGCCCTTGCTTCTGTATGCGGTGGCGTTCTTTCTGGTGAGTTATCACGCCTTGCGCATGCATGCACTTAGCTTCGAGATATCCGCTGAAGTGTTTGGATTGTTGCTCAGACGAAAGGTTTGGTAAACTTTGCAGGTAATGTGCACCGGGGTTTGCCTTGATAAGTTGGCGCTTTTGAGTCGCTTGAAGGGGGTCGTCTGGCATCTGCTTTTGTAGAACAGAGCGCTGTGACTAAGGTGCACCTTTCTGTTTGCGTGTGCACCCACTCCCCCTGTTCTGAGGCACCCACTTCGCAGCTTTAGATATGCTGGCCTTTGTTGTTCGCTCTTTGTCTTGTGTTCCAGGCTCTAGTTGGTAATGTCAATCCAAGAAGCACCCATTGATACAAACGATTAGCTTTTATCGTAGGCGTCCATGTAATCTCGATCCTTCCGATTCCGTTCTTGCAGATACCCGCATTCAGGTATGTGATGCATCGGTACCAGAATTCTCAAATAGAGCTTCGTAATGGAGAGCGACGATCACGAGCCCTCGAAGCTGTCCGTTTGGCATTAGCTGCAGCTGAAGACAAAGCGGCACAGGCCAAGCACCATCAGGCACTGACGATCATCACAAGCTGACAAGAGAAGAATAACAAGGTAACAAATGTCCAGCATTGGGAACTGTTCAGCATTGCCTCGACAGCATATCAATCTTTCTTATGATTGAAGGGGGATGCATATTAGGCTTGACGCCACTTGCAAGTCTGGACATAGGGGCAATATGAAGATTGCTATTTACGTGCTTCATTCCATCTCCATATGTCACGTATCCAAGACCCATGGCCAAACGGGAGCCAGTTTACCATGATATGCAGCGGAAGTTGAGCAAGTCGACTTGTTTGCTGTGAGAACCCTATATAGGCATGCTGAGTGTGCACGTCGAAATACGCACATGCGCCGTGGCCACCATCTAATTTAGAACAACACTGGAGTTATAAGTTGAAGTCTCATGTGATGTCGGTCATATATCGCCTAGCTTGCATGGTCGGCAGGCTTTGATCAAAGGATGATGTAAGAACAGCTTGCGACCGAGGACCCATGCTTAAGCGCAACGGCTTCAATCTGCTCGAGAATCCCGAGCACGGGGCATGCAATCGCTTTACATGCACTCAACCAAGTCAACAAGCTACTAAAGCTGCAGTGCCAACATCGTAAAGACGGTCACTTCTGACTGACCTGAAACAGGGGATCGAGCTGCTTTACTAAGTGAGGCAGTCCCCGGTACTACCTACCGGTATAGCCTATAGGACTCACTTGCCTCTTCGCGAAGCTAGCGGATCGACTCATCTCGACCTGACCGTAGAATGTGATCGATCGGACGGTATACGGGTCATCATCTGACGTGGGTGGCAGGGTCACGGTACCCCGCGAGCCTCGGCCCTCGACTCAGGGGCCCCGCGTGCTCTCCAAGCGGCATTCCAACGACTCCTAGTCAGACACAGGCCGGGAGCCTGACGGCCTTGATTCCCGCCTTTCTAAACGAGCTTCTGTCGATCTTGGTTTAGATGCCACTGCCAGGGATCGTCGAGCCGCTAGCCGCCTGAATCGATCGGATTTCTGGACTACTAATGGATTTGATTCTCAGATTATTTAAACTTCATTGATTGATTATTTATTGTGGGAGCTTACCAAACGGTGTACCGGCCAAGATCCTGTTTGACCGGTCGCAGAGCCTGGGCCACTGCCAGTCAAAAACTCTGCTTATCGGACAATCGGGACCTTCCACTAGCTGGTCCTGGAAGAAGCTTCGGGCGTCTCAATTTCGGATATGACGGATCGAATTTCCAGATATGGAAACCCTTGCAATATCTGGTGAATTGATTCAAGATTGATGTCTCTCGCGATACGCCGTCTGCGTTTCATCCAGCCTATAAACCTTGGGTTAAAACGTCCGTATGGAACCGTAATCTTAAATGTTGTGCGCGCAGGCCGGGCGGACCGTCAACAAATCAAAACTGCCGGGTTTAAGACCGTCTGCTTACGCTGACAGTGAATCTGACAACGTCATGTGCTGTACACGTCACTTGCACGGGCGAATCGCTTTCCTCGGTAGACGGCGGACGCCCGTCCGCTCCTGAAGCTTCAAGAATCAAAATCCCCCGTGCAGATCTAGCACATGGGTCGCCGCCAGCAAGATCTGCGGCTTCGCAATTGGATAGGCTGGCCGCTGGCAGACCGAGCGGCGAAGCCACCGCAGTGCGCACTGCGCACTGCGCACCAATCCGAAAGAGAAATTCTCAGTGTACCAGGCCAGGTACCGTCATAACCTGGGCAGTGTGTACGGTACACCTAGCGGTACAGCGATACTCAGGAACTTTACTCCAGCTAACTCTGCTCCAGCTAACTCCTGGCCGATTCGACGAGCCAGCGTGGCAAAATCTTACAATCCCCCGGGCAGGGGTTGCACCGAGTAGCTCATACCGAGCATCGTAAAGTCAGCTCACCGAGTGCTCCTGTCGCCGATGAGTCAGATGGGTTACAGGCTTGGTTAGGGAACTCCCTAGAAAGCAGCGGCCGGTCTAGAATCTATCAATTCGGAACATGGACTCATCCAGTTTGATTACTAACCATGTATCCAATTATGTGAAATCATCCGAGCCTCAATGCCTCATCCGAGTGGGTCTTGCTCGTGCTCGAGCCTTGGGGTCTTCCATTTCATCCCCGGTGATTTGGAGACTCCCCGGTTCAAAGAGTTGGGACCTGGGCAGGGGGAACTCAACTGGGCGGTGGCAAAGGCCGAGGTAGGACTGCTCGGCAACAGGTAGGGTACCCCGATACCCTGTGAAACACTGCAACGCAAGTCAGGCTAGCTTGTTGGACACCGGAAGAGTGGCACGGTTGGTCCGGCTGGGCTTATGTCTGGCCCGGCAACTACACCTAATTCCGCCAGCCGACGACAGATCCAATCGCGAGGAAGTGTAATGCCACTCTGGCCTACTTCTGTCCACGTCGGACATATGGAATCGGGCCGGAATTAGCTGGATCGCTCTTACCTGGAGTAAAGTTCCTGAATATGTACAGCGTACCGGGCCGGGTGCGGTATCGGATTCCCGAACCGTTCCTCAGTGGAACTCAAGTCAGTGCGCAAGGGGCCGGGAGGGCACACTGTCGATGTACGGTAGAGTCCAGAGCAGTGACACTGCAAGTTCTACCCGGTACCGTAGTAGCACGACCATTTCACACCACATTGTTTTATGAACAAATACTACGTCACGTTACTCACGTATCTCATTTTAATTTTTGACCCCGGCTTTGAGGGGCCCGAGAAACATAAATGTTGGGGTGTGAAAAGGTCGTGAGACTACGGTACCTACTACGGTAAACTAGTACCTAGGTACTCATTTGTGTACGGTACGGTACCTAGTAGCGTATGTCCCGTTGCTCATTTTTCGGTGCACACGTCATAATACCTGTGACGCAATCTCAACAGTTGCTGTGCACTTTCTGTGACTCGACAGACCGTTAGACGGCGTTACCAACGGTAGTACGGCGTAACGGTGCAGTATCTAGCTTACACCGAGAAGAGCAGCCGGTGGACAGTCCACAAAGTAAAAAACGATGAACAGGGGGTTCGGTGTGCTTTCAATGGACCCCAACCTTTGGCCCCCTATTTAATGAATCCAGTGCCCCGGCCATATAGATATGTTCACATAATTAACCGGGCAAATAAAAGGAAAACGCGCCATTGGCCAAACTCCAGTTCAGCAAGTTCAACTGTAATTAACCATAAAGTTTACGGCATATAAGGTACGGAAACTCATCAACCTACGGTAGCAGGGGTTCTGGCGGGGCGCCAAACGGGGCGCAGAGCGCCCCGGGGCAAATAATGGCGCCCCCGGGCGGAAGCCCGGGGCGCCAGAGCGCCCTGGGCCGCAGGCCCCGCCTACTTTCGGAAAGTCAGATCCAGGCCGCCTCAACCGGGAACTCTGAAATGATCTCTAAGTACAGCGTATCAGAGCATTGCCTGCACATATAATCAGGACACAATGAAGCCCATATAGTTCCACGATTTGGGGATAAGCACTCACAATTGACTGAAAACGCGACGGACTCCAAGTCGAGCCCTCTAAACATACCGTACAGGTAGCCAAGTCTCATGCTTTAACCATTCATCTGCAAAAAACTGCTTCAATAAGAGCAATTGTTCCTGTAGTAGGTACTATACCTGCTTTGGATAGGGGGGCACGGATTTTTTGACTTTGTGCCCACTGCCGACTGCTTGTACCGAACACAAAAGCCCAGGACCGGTATGCACGAATTCGGCTCGGTTAAACACAGCTTTCGCCGGAATACCCATTGCACCGGGTGCTGGCGCCCGGGCTTGGGCGCCCCAGGGAAGCTGGTCGGCGTCCCGGGGCGAAGCCCAGGGGCGCCACAGCACCTCCGGGCAAAATCCTGCTAGAACCCCTGTACGGTAGGTATGTACGGTAGTTGCTACCGATATTCTGTAACCGTACCAATACCGTCACGGTACGGTCCAAGTACCAAGTAGGTAGGTCCCTGCGGACCCTGCCTGTACCGAGGGTTAGGTAGGTAGTACCGTAGGTACCCGGTAGTAGTACGGCACAGCCTAGGTA